TGCCCCTAATTTTCATTTCTCAAACCCGGAATAAAAATCCCCCATCCCCGAAATTTTCCGGGTACCTGGAAAATTTTCTCCGAATTTTCCAGAAAATGTGCCCCTCGGAAAATCGTTTCCAAAGCTGTTATTTTCCGGAAAATTCCAGCTTTGGGAATGATTTTACGAGAGAATTTCAATTCCAGATATCGGAGAGTTCTGGGTTTGAGGGATTCCGTCTAACAGAGTTATTGCTGTATTCCTGTACATTAGATATGAGAAAAAGTTAGGATTTTTAGACCAAAAGTCTGGGGTCGACGTGCACCTGAGATTGATTAATTATAAGTACTTATGGTACCACGTAATCTTGGATTACCTCAAGGAGAATTGACCCTTACCAGCTAAGAGGGCACTTGAAAATCCCTCATGTACGAGTAATATTCAGTTCCCACTCCCTCAAAGTTGGTTGGTGCTAGGAAGGTCATTCAACCATAAAAATTGCTTCAAATATGCCTTATGGCTGCCCTGACATCATGCTACTCTATCAGATAATTATGGCTAACCTATGCACTTGTGGAAAATGGCTCTAAAATGGCAATGAGGGTGAAGATAATGCACATTTTGTGCATGATTGTATTGTTGGTGAAAGTTTCAGATTCACAGATTATTACTGGTATACAATTTATTCTTGAACAAAATATCAAATGTCTTTATCAACTGTTTTCTTAAAAAAACAAAATCTGCTATGAAATTTTGGTTACCTAAGAAAACAAAATTCCTGGCAGTGTTCTGTCATGCTAGTGAACTTTCTCAAGCTTTGATTTACATTTTAATCCTGGAATACTAAGATGGCAGAAATAGCTTTAGTGTGGAGTGCGCTGATTGGACATGTCTATCTCATAGAGACCACCTATCTCTCAGAGGGCAACTGTTGTCTGTAGTACATCTCATTTGAGGCTGTTGGTGTAATGGGTGGGAGAGGGGGGGGGGTGATTGGTTTACCCAAAATGATAGATAAATCACCATAGCTTTCACAGCAAGGGGATTGAAAGTAAATCCTAATTCGCAGAAGGCAGCCAGTATCAGTACCTGGTTATTGGGCTCCACGAGGAAACAGAGTTTCTTGACCATTCCTTCATTTTTATTAGCCACTTTAGTGAGTTTGTTAAACGAGGATTTGTATCAGACTGCAGTTGTACCCTGCTTAACTCGGTTTCACTTAACGCGATTTCTCATATACGCGGTGCCTCGCCAGAACCGAACTTTCACTTAACGCGGTTCATCTACTCATATATGCGGGAAGCGGCGCGGGCACGATGCGCACAAGGTCGCCCAGTCATCAAAACATTACCGAGTTCTTCACCCACCACAGCCGGCCCAAGTCAGTGATAGTGATAATTATAGTGAGGATATGGACTTATATGGACTTTGAGGGGTTTGACAAAGAGGCCCTGCAAGCCTCTGTGGTGGATAGTGATACAATTGATACAAGTGATACAGGTGAGGGCCAATAATCTGCCCTCTGCCTCGGAACCAACCCCCATCCCCGTGTGCCCAGCCATCTTTTCTACTAATGTAAGTGTTAAAAAACCTAATATTATTGATATTTCTCTTAATTATTAATTGTGTGTGCATACCATCATAAAGTTAAGATAATATTTTTACTACAACATAGTTGTGTGTCGTCAAAAAGTGGAGTTTGGGGGTCGGGCCAGTCTCTATTGGAATTAATCCCATATGTTCTGTTGTTCACTTAACGCGGTTTTCACTTAACGCGATACTCTGTGGGTTCAATTGACTGCGTTAAGTGGGGTACTACTGTATATTGTATTATACAGTTGAACCTCGATTTACGCGGTTCTCGTTTACGCGTTTGGTCATTTACGCGGTACCTTGCCAGAACTGGGATGCCCGATTTACGCGGTGAATTTACTCATTTACGCAGGTGAAGTATAATTTGTTTATTTACTGAAGATATTTGTTTTAGCTCATAAAATTCATACAAATTACCCGGCCAGAATATAATTTACATTGCTGGAATTCTTATAAGATTGTGATTATTTTAAATATAAACATCATGGAATTTGCATTAGAAATACAAATTTTAGATCTAATGTAAAAATTTTGATTACAAAGAGCCAAAATTTTATCTTTTGTGCAAAATATATGGCGTTTATATTCAAACTATTCCTGGTCTTGCAAGGAATCTAGCAATGTCAATTATATTATCCTAACTTTAGTCTGAGGTATTATTTATTACTATACCTTAAAATCTAGTGTTTTCACCCAAACATTTTTCAGAGAGGGAGGAGCCAGCGAGCGTGGGAAGAGCGGGGAGTTGAGTCCATAATTTGAATGGACATTAACCTGGGGACTGTATTTCTCTTAAATATTAATTGTGTGTGCATACCATCATAAAATTAAGATGTTATTTTTACTACAATGTAGGTATTGTGTCGGTATTGTGTAGGAAAAAGTGGAGTTTGGGAGTCGGCCCAGTCTCTATTGCAATTAATCCCATATGTTCTGTTATTCCATTTACGCGTTTCTTGTTTTACGGTTTACTCTGTGGGTTCAATTGACTTCATAAATCGGGGGACCACTGTATAAAGGAAATGATTTATTACTTGGGTTTAGGTGGTCTTTACTTTGGGCAGGAGAATGTTTGAAAACTAATGAAAAGATACTTTGTATTGACTTGCTCTTAATGAACATAGATAAGATAAAGGGATTATTGTATTTTGTGGCTTACAAATCAACCTGGCTTATCAGACAACCTCAATTATTTCAACTGAAATTGTTGATCCAGGTCTATACCTGGCAGTTAAGCCAATCCCTTAAATTGCGAATTGAAGGCAACGTCCTCGGTGCACCTAAACTTACCAGCATTTACTTTTTAACAGTTCTCCCATATTTTGGTTTTTGGCAGGAGGGCAACTGTTATTGAGCATTCTATAAATATACCGTAACTGCATTGTTAAACAATTTAACAACAAATATTGCAAGTAATTGCCCTACTAACGTTTGTTTGTATGAAAGTGTAGTTAACACCGAAAGATATTTTTAGGTTTTGAAAGGTGTCGGTGAGTATAGAGACTCTCATAATATGACTAGTGTAAACACTGACCTTAGCCTGAGTTCAGTGACAGTTACCCTTTTGGAAAAATGCAACAGTTAGGTAAGTTTGTGAGTGGTGGAAAATAAGTTGCAGCCCAGTACAGGTACTCCTCTACTTAAGAACGTTCAACTTACAAACTTTCAGAGATACGTACATCATCACTGAGGGGGGTTACCTGCCAGAACAGGTGTTTAATGTGGATGAGACTGGATGATTTTGAAGGAAATTCTAGAAAGAACAAGCATTACCTAAGAGGAGAAGAGTGAGCCAGGTTTTAAGGCTGTATTAAAGGGTATAGCTGTACTAAATATCCCTACCGGGTAATCTTTTAATTTTTTACATTATGTTTGATATCTACAATAGTAAAGTTGGACGTACAAACAATTGGATTTACAAACAAACCTCAGGAATGTAACTTGTTGGTAAGTAGAGGAGCACCTGTACTGATACTGAATGACTCAGATTTACTGGTACGGTAAAGTTAAAATCTGATACTAGTGGTGGAGCCATACTTAGAGGTTGACATTTTTTACCTGTTGTATAAGACCCCTAGTTTTGAAAACAAGAACTTGAGCTTGAAAAGTCGACTTATAGGCTGCAATACGCGGTGATTTTTTTACAGATTTTTTTCTTATTTAGATAAAAAGCTGATTTGTGAAGTTTATGTTATAGTACATGTACAGTACAGTATTACCCCGCTTAACGCGCTTTCACTTAACGCGTTTTCGCATATACGCGGTGCCTTGCCAAAGCTGAACTTTCACTTAACGCGGATTTTTCCACAGCAACGCGGTGAGTGTCCGGCTCGAGAGCTATTTTTAGATTCGCACCACCCCCCACCCGCCACCCTGCCTGACTGCCTGTTTTAGCTCATAAAATTCATACAAATTACCCAGCCAGAATATAGTTTACATTGCTGGAATTCTTATAATTTGGTGATCATTTTGAATATAAACAACATATTTTTTGCATTAAACATACAATTTTTAGATAAAATGTTTAATCTGAGTAAGTATGTTATCTTTTGTCCAAAATATATGACATTTATATTCAAAATATTCCTGGTCTTACAAGGAATCCAGCAATGTCAATTATATTATCCTAACTTTAGTTTGAGGTATTATTTATTAAAATTTAGTGGTTATCCCACACATCTCCTTGGGACGGTTGGTGGGGGGTGGGGGGGAGGGAGGGACCAACCGACCGACCATCTGTTACCCGGTGAAGAATTATTTTTTTTTAACTGAAGATATTTGTTTTAGCTCATAAAATTCATACAAATTACCCGGTCAGAATATAATTTACATTGCTGGAATTCTTATAATTTGGTGATCATTTTGAATATAAACAACATATTTTTTGCATTAAACATACAATTTTTAGATAAAATGTTTAATCTGAGTAAGTATGTTATCTTTTGTGAAAAATATATGACATTTATATTCAAAATATTCCTGGTCTTACAAGGAATCCAGCAATGTCAATTATATTTTCCTAACTTTAGTTTGAGGTTATCCCACACATCTCCTTGGGACGGTTGGTGGGGGGTGGGGGGGGGAGGGAGGGACCGACCGACCATCTGTTAGCTGGCTGTGTACTGTAGTGTGAGAGGGGGAGGGAGTTGAGTCCATTATTTGAATGGACATTAACTTGGCGACTGTATTTCTCTTAAGTATTAATTGTGTGCATGTACCATCATAAAATTAAGATGTTATTTTTACTACAACATAGTTATTTGTCGTCAAAAAGTGGAGTTTGGGGGTCGGGCTGGGTTCTATTGGAATTAATCCCATATGTTCTGTTATTCACTTAACGCGGTTTTCACTTAACGCGGGACCCTCTGGGTTCAATTGACCGCGTTAAGTGGGGTACCACTGTATTTACATTTTGCTTTTTCATCCAGGGTTCTGATTCAGAATGCAACAGTTTCTCTAGCCTTTGGAAGAAGATACGCACTGGTTGGAAGAAATGGACTTGGAAAAACTACTTTGTTGAGAATGATAGCCAGGTGGGTCATTTTTATACTGTACAGTACTATATGCAGATAATTTGTTCTTTATATGAGATTGGTGCAGAAAAAGTTGGCAGTTATGAGATGTGCCCAGATCATGAAGTTAAGAGTAGTTAATGGATATATAATGTTTTAATTGAGAGAGGCTCAAATGCTTGAAACGTCATAAAAATGTCGACCAAAATACAGTAAACCCTCGATAAATCAGCACATTTGGGGCTCTGGCCTTGTCAAGTTATCCCAAATTCTGACTTATTGAGGCACTTCCCACCCTCCTACCAAAAAAAAAAAAAAAAAAAATCTACCCATATATGTGTACGTGTAATTACTAAATGATAAAAAGTAACACTTAGCAACACTGCAGGTGAAGAATGAATCATCATAGTAGATGACACAGATGCATGGTAGGTGATACAGAGGCATGGCGGGTGACAGAGATGGCCAGATATGCCAAGATTTTCCCAGATAATTTTATATATCGGCATTTCCTGAGTTATACTAAAAAACATTCCGTAACCATATCCATGCCGAGTTATATGAAATTCTGAGTTATCAAATGCTGAGCTATTGAGGGTTTACTGTGAATATTGTGGATGATTAGAAAGCAGTGATGCAAGATGTGTAGTTATGAAGTGACTACTTAGTGATGGGTAGTAGATTATATGGCTATTCAGCAAATTAGGGTGACAATAAATAGAATGTGATGTGTACAGTACAGACACATAATGGCTAGCAAGATATTTAGTCATACAAGGAAGATCACTGTGTAGTGCATTTTTTAGGGTTAGTGATGCACTATCATGAAGAAGCAGAATGTGGTGTCATCATTGTGCAGTCAGTTTTAAATTGGTTGACACCATAGTGGAGAATTTTGACTGGAAACTTCTAGATTATCTTTGATACACTCCTAAAGGCCGCCTCACACCAGAAACTACGCGAGCCACGCTACGTATGTGTGCTAGCTATGCACACTATGTCGTCCTCACACCAGAAGACACGTCTCAAGCTATGCTCTCACTTATGTTCTACCAGTCAAGACGACCAGTTGTTCTCTGTGGTGTGATCATGATTCAGGTATTTCTAGTGCCGATACTTGGACTATCCAAGAAAAGAGGAAATGGATACACTAAACAAACATGAAAAGAAAAAATGGCGAGTACCATTATCTAGTACCGGAGCTTTCCCTTGAGGAGGACAAAATTCAAACAATATTTTCGATTATCACATGCTCAGTTTAAGGTTGTTTTCTTATTGATTGAAAAAAATATCACGAAACTGGGGACACACTACAGGAAATCCATATCACCTCAGGAAAGGCTGATCATTTGATACGGTAAATAATACAGTACAGTAATTGAAAATGCACTGGTAGTAAGACATTATCAATTCTTGAAGGTATTTCTTCATTATGAAAATAATTAGGTATTTCTAAACTCAGCATAAAAGTATATGAAACTTTTGTATACCCTGGATTGTACCTTTTCTTTTCATTTTGGAAATACTTCACAACATTAAAAAAAAAAGCAGCATATAATTATGTTAAATCTTTGTGTTGATTAAAGTGGTAAAAATTATATTCATGAATCAATCACTAAATCACATATCTAAACATACACTGATTTGAAACATTTATTCATTATGGATATCATTCATCACATTTTGAGGATCTATGGATCCCTGCCCAGTGCTAAATGATGAATCTGAATTGTTATGAAAAGCTGCACCAGAACAGTAAGGTGCTGAGGAAGTAAAAGCATGTCTTGATATTTCATACTCCTGTTGCTCCTCCGTTCTTGCAGTGCAGTCAAAAACTTCTCTCTTGATTTGGGGTTGAAGCCTATGAGGTAGCTACCTAGTAGTGACATGTGTTCATAAAGAGAAATAAAATACTTACTATCAGGTTTTGGGTGATCTGTTCCCAGCAGTGTTCTTTTCTTTGAAGATCTCTATGATCATTCAACCACATATCATATATGCATGGATATTTCTTCAATAAATTCCTTCACCTTCAAATGTTTTCTCCACTGGGTCACAATCAAAGGCGAGACAGTGTGGGATGGCTTTGAAACATGACCCTCCTCCACTTGCCACATCAGTGAAGGACTGAGAGGAAACGTTCTACTGAGCCTGTGCAACCAAAGCAATGATGAGAAAAATCGCTCCCCAGGCAATCTCAAACTATTTGGCCTGGTCATTTAGCGTGTGGCATACGTAGCTTAGCTTCCGGTCTTATTTACCTAATTGAATAACAAGTGCAGCAATTCAAAGTCATGTAGCACATATACGTAGCATGGCTTGCCTAATGCAGCTTTAATACAGAGTCTGTGATTAAAGTTGAAGAATACTTGTAAAAATGAAGCCCAGAATTGTACCATGTAATGTTAATCCTAGGATGGAAAAAATGTGTCAACTTTGGTGGTAACTACATTGGGAAATAGTGTAGATTAGAACTACTAAAATGTGTATCAGAAAACTTACAGAATGAATTGCTTTGAATACTACAGGCCTTGAAGTGTCTTATTTGCTTATATGTACAGTAAAGTGATAGCTTATTGCATGCTTAATACAATATGTAGGAAGTACAGTATTGTGTGTGACTATTATTATTAATTATTCCTCTTTATATATATGACTGCCTCTTAATTTCAGCCGAATACTTCGTATTCCAAACCACATCTCTATTTTGTACGTCGAACAAGAAGTGATTGGAGATGACACAATAGCCTTAGAGAGTGTCCTTGAGTGCGACACACAACGTAAAACTCTCCTTGACAGAGAAAAGGAGATTCAAGCTAGAATATCACAAGGGTAAATTTCTTTCTTATTCTTTACTTTGATTTGAATTTTAGATTAACATAAATTTTTGTTCTATTCTATGATTCTTGCTGTAGTTAGTCTGTGACATTTTATAAGATTAAAAACTTTAAGCCTAAAACTACCTTCACCCTGGCTGGGGTGAGGTGAGGTGTGTACACAGCCGGGCAGAGGTTAACAAGTGTGTGTTTTATCAGTCATACAGAGGGAGTTAAAGTTTTTCGCTCATAAAACGTCATGAATTGACTTGGCAGAATTTAACTTACATTGCTGGAATTCTTGTAAGATAGTGATTAGTTTGAGTGCAAACATCCCATAGTTTGCACGTGACATAAAAATTTTAGGAATTAATTTAGTACATTTAAGTACAGTGAACCCTCACTTTACGCGGTTAATTCAACCCAGAGGGTACCGCGGAAAGTGAGAAACTCGTAAAGTGAACAACATAACGTATGGGATTAATTGAAATAGAGACCTGGCCAACCCCCAAACTCCACTTTTTCAGACACAATACCTACGTTGTAGTAAAAATTAATTCTTAATTTTATGATGGTATGCACACGCAATTAATAATTAAGAAAAATATCAATAATATTAGGTTTTTTAACACTTACATTAGTAGAAAAGTTAGCTGGGCACACGGGGAGGGGGGGTTGGTTCCGAGGCAGAGGGCAGATTATTGGCCCTCACCTGTATCACTTGTATCAATTGTATCACTATCCACCACAGAGGCTTGCAGGGCCTCTTTGTCAAACCCCTCAAAGTCCATATAAGTTCATATCCTCACTATAATTATCATTATCACTGACTTGGGCCGGCTGTGGTGGGTGGCGGGTGAAGAACTCGGTTATGTTTTGATGACTGGGCGACCTTGTGCGCACCCTGCTCGCGCCGATTACACAACATGGCGGGAGGTTTGGATCCAAAAATGGCGCGGCTCGCCAGCCGCTCTCCGCGTAAAGGGGTACACGCACCTTGGAATGTGAGCATTCCGGTTTCAGCAGGGTACCGCGTAAACGTGGAAACGCGGAATGTGGGACCGCATAAAGCGAGGGTTGACTGTACAGGTTTGCCCTTAGGACAATTAGTTCTTTTACCTTTTTCACATTATGTATTTAGGATGGTGTGTGCATGTAACTGAGTAAAAATTAATGAAGAAAGTTACATATATCTACCCAAAAATACAAGTTGAAAAACAGCCATAACACCTCACAGCTTGGCCCAGTAGCCTGCCTGGTGGTTTCTGTGACGAGTCTAACTTGGCTACAGTTCTGCTTAGTTTACCCAGCTGAGTAGGCGGAACAAGCAGTGACATGGTCTTTGACTTCTCTTGTGATGTAGATATGTAGAGACGTGTTTGTGAGCCACTCAGCCAGGCTGCGCACCCTTCCCCTACCTCCCTACTGTCCTCTCCCTAGCCAGATGTGCAGAGATGTATTTGTGAACCACTCAGCCAGGTCGCGCACACCTCCCCTACATCCACCCTCTCCCTTCTCGCAGTGTTTGAATCTGCTATCCCAGTTTGTCCGTTCATACTGAATCGCATTTATTTACTGTCATCGCTATACTTGGTGCTTGGGAACACATTCCTATTGAACCCAAGTATTATTCCCTCCGTTATATGAGTTTTATGCGATACGAGCCGACGCCAAGGAACGTAACTACTCGTATCAATGAGATTTTACTGTTTGTGTGTATACAGCAGCTCCCTGACTTACGATGGGGTTAGGGACCCAAATCCACGTCGTAAGTCAGGAATGCAAAAAAATGATACAAAGAAAATCTAAAATGAAATACAGTACAGTAAAAGTAATCAATAATGAAGAATGGATACAGTGTGACAGTGCACTTACCTTTAATGTAGTCAGCTGATTGCACACAGGGCCCCCATAATTTTCTATTTACAGGTATACATGGAGACTATATTAATTGAATGAAGCATAGGAGGAGACAGGGCTAGGTGGGTCATCAATGTCGCTTTCTTCAGACAAACTAAAATCGTTCCGGATCACTGGAGTTTCCAGACTAGAGAGGTACAACCTGTAATGGCAGCAAAAATGAATTTACGGAGTTTATGAATATGCTCTTGATTCTTCCCATTCTTACATTTTACCAAGAAATGGTTTAAAATTTTTTTTAATGAAACCCAGGATGTAATCTTAATGTTGTAGAGCCTCTTCATAAGTCTGATTTTAAGAATTTAAAGCTTACCGGTAATGTGTGTTGTAATTTTATTTATTTTTATTTTTGTTTCAACAGGGATTCTGATGATAGTCTCGCAAGTCAGCTGTCTGAGGTATATGCTGAATTACAGGCCATTGAAGCAGACAAGGCTCCAGCAAAAGCCAGTGTTATCTTGAATGGTTTGGGATTTAATCCAGAAATGCAGATAAGAAAAACAAGTGAATTTTCTGGAGGATGGAGGATGAGAATAGCTTTAGCCAGAGCACTTTTCTCTCAGTAAGTAACATATCACATTTTAACAGAGATATAAGCATTTTTATTGCTTTCCTGCTAGGGCGTTAAGATATTTACCTTTTCATCAAAATATAAAGGTCTAGAAAGAATTTGTTTATCATGAGTTGAGCCATTATAGTTTTCCTCTATCCCTAATACCATTAAATGCAAATTTAAGTTTTTAAAGTTTACATGGTGCATATAGATCAGTGCAAACTTATATAATTTTCTCACACTGCTCCTAGTGGCAGTATGTTATGAACATGTGTCCTTGGTAATGTACTACAAATTGTCAGACTTTAGAGGGATGAACTCTAATGTGAAACTTGAGTAGCAGACCCAGCTAAAATGTGAGGGTTTCTTTTTTTACAACTTGAGTAGCAGACCCAGCTAAAAGGTGAGGGTTTCTTTTTCTACATTCATAGAATGCTATTCACCATAGGAATTTCTCTCATGTATAGTCGCGAATAAAAGTTCTGTCACTTCTTTTGCTGCTCCACAAACCCCGAGATTCACATTCATTAATCTGAAGCAGGTGTTGACAGAATAATGCATCAGCATCTACTGCTTCTGATCACGAGTCAGAATTTTGGGGTTTGTAGAGCAGCAGAAAAGGTGACAGAACTTTTGTATGTGATTGCATATCATTTTTATTGCTTCCAACTCTTTCATTCATGGTCCATCTATACTTCACCTTTAACTTTCTCCAACACACTTCCAATTTCATTCACAAACATATTTCATTTTATGAATCGTTCTCCAAAGCAGTGTCATTTGCATTCAACAGCTGACTTTAATGTGTGTTGTTCTATGATTGATAGTTCAAGGAGTGTGAGCGCTGTCTGTGGCCATTGTGTTTACATTGGGCAGCAGTAACTGTCATCTGTATAGTAGAATCTGGCTGCAGCACTTATCTAATCTCAGCTGAGACTTGTGTCCAAGTTCACAAAGAAAGAGTTGAAAATATTATACAAGGCTTTATTACCAGAAATTTACATGTCAGTGGAGTGATAGGCAATATGAGCTGAATATGGTAGCTGTTCATATTTAACCATCTTTTGACATTCGTGGTTGGAATGTAATAGAGCTGTGGAAGGAGTAAAGGGAATGATGAGCCTGCTACATATTAGTGGTAGAACTAGGTTAGAATATGGACTTGTTTGAATCTACATCTTGTAGAAGCAGCGATGTTTTGTTTAATTCCTTGACTGAGATGGAACTTCCCCAGCCGAATCAAATCGTCTGGTGATAGGAATATTTGTAGTAGAATCCGTTCGTTATAGCATACCCCACTGTACTAGAGGGTTTTAAGAAATGCTTTAAAATTGAAAAGAACAACACTTGCTAAATGAGTACTATACAGTGGTCTAATCAGATTTGCTCTAGGCTTAATGAGAACTAAGACACTGTGTATGTAAGCAGGCTGGGGGTGGGGTGTTGATTGGGTGCTGCTGCATTCGTCAAGTTTATTAATCGATTTAGTCTTATATTATTGTATAATCAGCCTCTTATGGTGTAAGTTTCATCATGATTAATATAACATCTTCAGTATTAAAGAATAAATACGATGTAATTTGAAATTTGACTTGAAAATAATAGGATAAACTGTATCAGAGGCTATTCACTCAGGGTGCGTTCATGTGAGAGCTTTCAGCAAATCAGTTTACAACATGGTCACTATAACACGCTGTATAGAATTTGGTAAAAAGATACCTTCCTAAGAATGTTATTTATTACCTTTGAGTGATACATGAAGGCTCAATTTGGCTACTTGTACACTTAGACAACTGATTAATGAATAAACCAGGGTACAGCTCCTCCCCGACTTACGACCTACTCGACTTACGATCACCCGGACATACGACCGCCTCAGTCGTACCAAAATTTTGTCAAATTACGTATTTTTCGAGTCCCAATGTCAGTGGTTGCGCTGTGTACTGACAAACTTTTTGTTTGTAATTCACTTTAAAATGGCTGGCAAGCTTAAAAGGGAGAGTTTTGTGGTGCTGAGAAGAAAAAGAGACACCCATTTTTTATTTTCTATGTATTATTTAAGCATTTTCGACTTATGACCTGGATTTGGGTCCCTAACCCCGTCGTAAGTCAGGTAGGAGCTGTATATGCAAATGTCTAATACTGTACACTACAATATTACTTATTAAGTGATGATAAATACACTGCAATATTTAATAAGTAATTATAAATACACTACAGTATAGTCTGCATTTACGCGGGTTTTGTTTACGCGGTGCCTTGCCAGAACGTAAATGCTTCAATTATGCGGTAAATTTGGTCATTTACACGGAGCGCGGCTGGAGGTCCAGACGCTCCACGCCATTTTTCATATGACGTATAGAACTGTGATTGGTCTAATGTTATATGACGTGGCCTGGCACGGGAGGGAGCGTCTGATCCAGCCACGTCAGTCTCATGGTTCTCCCTAAAACCAAAGACAAAAACAAATATATCGCTTTGTAATATTCAATGACAATAGGTACTAGATCTCTTAGCAGTATAAATGTCAAGGCAAAGTAGAAAGAAGGAATGGAGAAGGGGAATTTTGGGGCTAGAATTGATGTAAATATGATCCTTGATTAATGACTGGAATATCATAACAATCTACCAAAATTGAAAGCACCTACATTTTGAACTGGCCTCCTCCCTTAAATTTGAACAGCAAGATACCAACACAGCAAGATTCATGATGCTACAGAGAGATTTATGCTGAAAACAATAAAGCTTCAGTTCAACCATCCCAATAAAATCTGTCACTCCTGCAAATGCCTATCTCTACATGCATGCCAGTCCTAGGTTTTAATGTAAGGCTTAAACTTTAATTTTTAGTTTCTTTTACTGTGTTTTGTCATTCAATTTCTCTTAAATTAAGTGATTCAAGATAAGTAAAAAGACTTAGGCTATGATATAGTGCACATGGGTATGTGTTCCGATTTACGTACATTTCCGACTTAAAGAACGTCCTCAGGACCGGAGCTCGTTCATAACCCGAGGACACCCTGTACTGTACAGAGTACAGTTTTCTCTTTATTCATAAGGCCAATTCTGTGGTTGCTTACATATAACACTTTACAGTAAATAACAATCATTTCAGTGGAAACAGTTGTAGACAACCAGACATGTCTGTTTTTCAACCCACAGAGTTCAGTTTCATATTTTGTTTTTTGATGCAATAGTGTTTTAATAACCTTGTTATGTACTTAAAGACCTAGGTTGTTTGAGTGCAATACTGTAGTAACATTATAGCAACAACTGAATTCCTTTAAACAGTCCAGATAAGCAGTGTTATATCCACCCCCCTCCCTCTCCCACACATTGATTCGTTTGTTTTGGACTTCACATTTTTCGGACTGGGCTCTTCCCCAATTTGTTCAATTTATTGAGTTTATACTGCATCTAAATCTTCCATGTATCCCAACTTTGTCCCCTTTAGTCCTGTTTGGTAAAAATTCCAATTTAGTCCAATAATCTGAACGCAACTGAAGCCATTCATTCGCGTGTCTACCTCTAGTAACGCTAGTTACCTCGCATATCATAGAATACAAATGCACATATTTTATGTACACAATATAGCTCCTTCCACACTCAAACCATCATCTTAGTGATGCCACAGTTCAACCAGGCAATCGACTAGTTAACTCTAAGGTGCATGTGTGCTTGCGTGAAATGGGTGTGTAATAATAATAATAATATAATAATAATAATTAACGGTTTATTGAAAAAGATCTGCAGCCCAAAGGCTGAAAATATACATTGGACATAAATGACTTATTACATACATTGGTGGTTTAACGAAAGCCTTCATTAGTGAAAGGTAAAGGAACATACAGTGAACATACAGATAAATGTTTACAGTGGAGGTCACGTAAATCTTGTGCGCTGAGGTGTTGAACAGCAAACACGTAGTGTAGTAACTCCATCACTGATGGTGTTTTGAGGGGCCTGAAGTGTGTGTGCACACGTGTGCGTGCATTTGTGCGTGCGCCCTACCTAACTTCACCCACCCCAACACAGACATACACATGGGGGTGAGTGAGAAGAGAGAGAAAAATCAGGGTAGGGACACGGGTGAGTTGGCGATGCAAGACAGTGCGCTGCCTCCACACATACAGTATGTTCACCTCCCACACATGCACATTAATGCTCTTCACTCATGTTTCATAGTTTTATATAATCCTGTATTTTCTTTATTTCCAATCATCATTAGAGTACTTTATTGTAAATTTTACTCCTTTAATCTGTAATAAAGAAAACTGTTACAAGGGTAGACTAATATCCTGAGTAATAAGTTGTGTGTTTATTTACATACTCAAACTTGAATTATTTATAGATAAAGCAACTATTTTTATCATTTTTAATTTGTATTACAAAAACTCATTCAATATAAACATCAACACCATCTCTGAAATGTTTATTATTTCTAACCCAAAATATTTTGACAAAATGATAATCTTGGTAGCCATGGTGCTATACCCTATTTTTTTTACATAAGGTTTAATACCTGCTAATTCACGATTTGTGATGATTTCCAAGAATGTAACCCTCATGAATATGGGAGGATAAGTGTACCTCGGTTCTAGTTTACTTGCTAGGGAAATATTCCCAAGATTCAGTTGATAGCAACAAATTAAATAATACCTTTTCTAGTAGTTTTCTGATTTTCAACTCACAATACAGTACAAGTCCAAAAATCCGGACTGCTTGGGGATTGGGTCGGTCCGGATTTTCAGATTTTCCGGATTCTCAGGCAGTACTTTTAAAATTCAAATTTAAGGAGGAATAAAGAAGAGATGAACAGGTACATTTTGACAGTTTATTCACTCGCAAATATAGCATGCTTCATTTATCAAAACGAGCAGTTTTAAGGAAAAAGCTGTGAATTCTAGAATTTTATTCTTTGCCTTTTTTATATCATGAATTGTAGACTTTCCAATGTCGTATGTTTCCATTAGAAAAGTATTGCTCATACCACGTTCTAGTTTCTTAATTATTTCAAGTTTGTCACTCAATTTCAACGTGTTCTTCTTTATCTTCACACAACGAAGTTTATCTACTTAAGGAGCCATTTTTATGGGTTTGTACAGTACTGTACAGTTGTACCCCGCTTAACGCGGTTTCACTTAACGCAATTTCTCATATACGCGGTGCCTCGCCAGAACCGAACTTTCACTTAACTCGGTTCATCTACTCATATACTCGGGAAGTGGCGCGGGCACGATGCGCACAAGGTCGCCCAGTCATCAAAACATTACCGAGTTCTTCACCCGCCACCCACCACAGCGGGCCCAAGTCAGTGATAGTGATAATTATAGTGAGGATATGGACTTATATGGACTTTAAGGGGTTTGACAAAGAGGCCCTGCAAGCCTCTGTGGGGGATAGTGATACAATTGATATAAGTGATACAGCTGAGGGCCAATAATCTGCCCTCTGCCTTGGAACCAACCCCCCGTCCTCGTGTGCCCAGCCATCTTTTCTACTAATGTAAGTGTTAAAAAACCTAATATTATTGATATTTCTCTTAATTATTAATTGTGTGTGCATACCATCATAAAGTTAAGATAATATTTTTACTACAACATAGTTGTGTGTCGTCAAAAAGTGGAGTTTGGGGGTCGGGCCAGTCTCTATTGGAATTAATCCCATATATTCTGTTGTTCACTTAACACGGTACCCTGTGGGTTCAATTGACCGCGTTAAGCGGGGTACAACTGTACTTTGTAAATGGAAAGAGTAGGATTGAAAATTACATACGTTGTCACAGTTTGATTGCTCGTTTTAAAGTGGTGGTCGCTTGTTGTCGCTGTGCAGCTGTGGCGCTCATGCATGCGCACATACACACAAAAGCCAGCTAAAAAAAAAAAAAGATCGAAAAGTCCGGATTCTCGGGTGGTCCGGATTTCTGGCATCCGGATTTTTGGACTTTTACTGTATTCAGTTATGGGTAAAAGGCGCCAAAAGTGTCATAGAAGAAAATTATCTTGTTTCTGTTTTAAATTATAATTAAAAAAAAAACTATATTTAATTGTCCCCTATTTTAAATTGACTGAAGTCATTTTGATTACGGTGCCTTTTTGACTCAATGATCCGAATGCCATGGCAAAGTGAGCACTGAGTATGAATTCATACATGTGATTCCACCACTAGGCACTCTCCTATAATGGGTAAATTAGGGAATTGGAATACTTTTAAATTTGTACAACTCCAAAAATTTATTGTGTTTAAAAATATGTTTGGGAGTTATTATATTCAAAAGGTACAGTCCCCTTCACTAGTGTTTTTTTTTTCCTCAGGGATTAGCCCACCTGGGCACAGGTCACAGACCCACATCGGAGCCTGAGGGGCAAAAATGTAATAATAATTATAATAATAATTCTAATAATTCATAGTAAATATAATTTATAATAAAATTTACACAATTAAAAATAACATAATAAACTTATAATGATAATAATAATAATAAAACAATAAAGAACCATAAAGAAATAAAAAATGAAAAAAGATCAAAGGTGTGAAACAACATATGTATGTTGTGTTGTCAATAGTAAGAGAAACAATTGAGACCCTGCAATTGTGTGTAAATGAGGCAGATAGTCAGATCAGCAACGTGGGACTTGGTCACTATTATTTGATGCCGTATTGCTCGTCATATAGACATTCCACAAATCATTACATTGAGATATTTGTTTTAATATTGTTTTACCCTGTACTTTGATTCTATAGTATGCTTACTATTGCGTGTTTCCTTCTGTCAAATGTAAACAAACACAGCGCTGCGACATTGTACAAAACCTGGCACACTAGTGAAGGGGACTGTACCTTTTAAATATAATTACTCCCACTCATTATTTTAAACAAAATTTTTTTAGAGTTGAACAGGCAGAGCATATGAAGAAGAAAAATATTCAAGTGTGATTTATATTGCATGTTTTTGGACCACTATAGTACTGTACTCTTATGACACATCAGTTGCAAATTGTATAGTACTAGTGGACTTTAGGGTAAAATGGGATTTCATGATCAGTTTTCTATTTTAATGTAGCTTCATTTACTGACAAGAATTATAAGATTATTAATCTTTTCTCTAAAATTTTGCTGATATTATCACTTACCTTGATGCTAACTTAAAAAAAAAGTAAGAGGTGCCATGAATGGTAGGAAGAGAGCAGCATTTATTAGTTGCTCTTGAAGCTCTACAGTATAGTATTCACAAATGGTAAATTTGCAAAATATATGGGAACTGTTGCACTAAAAGGTAATGTTTTAAATAAATGCAATGATTTTTATTCTTTGTTTTTGCAGACCAGACCTACTCTTGCTTGATGAACCAACCAACATGTTGGATATGAAGGCAATCATTTGGCTTGAAAATTACCTCTTGGGATGGTCAACGACTTTATTAGTAGTGTCTCATGATCGCCACTTTCTTGATATTGTTCCCACGGATGTCTTACATTTACACTCCCAAAACATAGACACATATCGGTAAGTTTTGAGTAATTTTTTTGTGTGTATGTGAAAGAAATGAACAGTGTCTGTAAAATGTTGGTTTTTAAAGGTTTGAATTACTTGAAATAAAAGGGACCAATTACATTATTTGTAAGGAGTAATGAGATGAGGTTAGAATAATACAAAAAAGAAGTTAGAGACATTCTGAGAGCCTTGGTAGATATACAACATAGCTAAAGCTGCTGTAGCTACTTCACACCTGAGCAGTTACATCTGGTTTATAAGGGATTCATTTGTCCTAAAATGGAGTACTGCTCTCATATCTGGGTTGGTTGTTCTTCTATCCAACTGTTAGATAGGGTGGAATCAAAGGCATTTCATCTTCTTAATCTTTTCACTGCAACATCACTAATTTATCAGAATATCATGTGTGTGTGAACATTTTCAAAAAAAAATAAAAAATCAATTATACAAGTACAGTAAAGCCTCGAATAACGAAGGTAATGTGTCCTCCAATATTGCAGTGTAAGGTGAATCATTGTATCATGATTCATTTATTACCATTAAAATAAAGCAATAATAATGAGATGCGTTCCCCAGTGTGACCTTTTCATAACTTTTGTGTGGCTTTTTACCCTCACTTCTCCCAAAACAATAAAATTAATGAAAAATGAAAACTATATTCTTTAAATATGTTTATGAATGCACCTTATATAATATAAATCAATAATAATGAGATCACACAAGAGGAGATGCAACGCCATTGTTGTCAGTATTTACACCCATGACCATAATGTCAGTTATCCATCTGAAACTGAAGAAATAAGACCCTGATTGTTGCTGTAGTAAAATTAATGTAAACATTATGTATGTTTTAATTAATGCAATTTATTGTACAGTAAAAGTAACCTCTAATGTTAAAGAAAAAAAAAAGAGTGATAGTGGAACGGCCATGTATACTTGCGCCCTCAAGGAAACAGTGTCATTTATCTTAAGAATATGTACAAAAGGTTCATTATTGTTTACTACTGGATATGTATTTGATTAAATTAATGTTTATATATGTGAAATGAACAATGCAATTAATTAATAATACATAGAATATTAAAACACACAAGAGGAGAGGAGACGGCATTGTTTTCGTTCATGTTTAAAACACCCGTGACGAATGACGATGGTTCTACATAAGAAACTGATGGAAGTAATTAATATTATTTAATGTACAGTAAAAGTAACTACTGATGTTAAAAAAAAAAGGAGTGAGAGTGGAATGGCCCTCAAGGAAACCGCATCATTTATTTTATTAAGAATATGTACAAAAGATTCAATATTGTTTATTACTGAATATGTATTTGATTGAATTAATAAACGTTTATATATGCAAAATGAACAATACTGTACAATTCATTAATAATACATAGAATATTAAAACACACAAGAGGAGACGAGACAGCATTGTTTTCATTCATGTTTACAACACTCGTGAGTCAGTGACGCTGGTTCTACATAAGAAACTGAAGAAAATAAGACTCTGGTTGTAGCTGTAGTAAAATGAATGTAAAAAAATGAATGTGTATGTTTTAAGTAATGTTATTTAATGTGAATAAATAGAACAATAGAAGTAGCTTACCATTAATGGTAAAGAATAAACGAAATAGATTGGGAACTCCATTGTATGTAAGTGTGTACATGTGAAAACATGGTAATTTCTCTACATAAGAATTTGAAAGCAGCACTTATTGCTGTTCACATATGTTTTAAATAATACTTACTAATGTAAAACAAAAGTTCTACTCAGAAATGGTGGTAAAGTAAAATATAAGGACAGCCAATGAATATTGTGAGAGTTTTTACTCAGATGACGAAGTCATCAGGTTCAACTCTGGTTAAAGTTAAAGCTTTCCATAAAGATATCAGAGCTGTTGCTGAAACTGTTGCTGAACCTGAAGTTGTTGCTGAAGCTGAATTTGATGGTGTAGCGAAGGTTGATGGTTTAGGCCTTCAAATAATAAAGCTGTCAAAAGAACCTTGCACAGCTGCTTTCTTTTCTCATTATACAGTGGTCCCTCGGTTAACGAACACAATTCGTTCCAGAAGGTCGTTCGTTAACCGAATCCATTTTTTCAATGGGATATTGGGTAATTGGTTCCAGCTCACCGAAAAGTACATACAAAGTAAAACAAAAATGAAGTAAAGTGCACTTACTTTGAGGTGTGTATGTAGAAGGTTCGTGGTTGATGATGATGATGGGAATTAGAAGTGGGGGTGGAGGAGAAGGGAGAAGAGAAGGAAGTGGGGATGGAAGAGAAATCACCCCATGCTTGATGCCGTCATTTCACCAATAAAATTTTTAGTTCACTCGGTGTAATTCGAGATTATTTTCTTTAAATCAACTCTGCACTGCACTATATATTGTCAATATGTTGAATAAATTTCAGAGTGACCAATAATTGTACTGTAAAAATGTAAAAATAGTTTATGTTCAAGAGAGTCTCAAGCAAGATGTTATTTCCATTGAACAGAGACACAAACTGGCGCCTTGGTGGGTGAGTGAAGTGGCTAATGGGCTCACCAAAAACTAGTTCCCTGTACTGCAGTTATGTTAAATAAGTGTTAAAATGACTAATAATTTTAATATAAAACTTGGAAAAATATTGAATATCACAACCTTCTCTATTTATTTCAATGGAAACGAATATAAGCCCTAGAACCGATTACTGTATTGGCGGACTAATCTTCCAGACGGTGAGCAAGCCAAAACATGTTGACATGTTTTCGTAAGAATTTCGTTAACCAAATTTTTGTTCATTAACCGAATTGAAGATTCTTGTGGAAGGTAATTCGTTAATCAAAATTTCGTTAACCGAGGCGTTCGTTAACCGAGGGACCACTGTACATCTTTATGTAGAGTTCATACAAGTTTTTCACATCCCTGTTAATTTTAATTCTTCATTCTGTTAATGGATCCACTTCAGAAAATATGTTAATTGCTTGCTCCATTACCAGGGTCTAACATATGAATCGTTGATAGTAGAACCGTCATTCTCGGAGGCTTTCCTGTATCTATATAATGAAAAAAGATTTTTTGCTGAGTTCAACTATACATATTGGGAGAAAAATACTTACGTATAATACAGTCACATTTTTGCCCTCTTTTAGTCAATAATTTCTCTTCCCTTTCTCTTCGCCGCAATGTTGCTTCACTCTCTCTTTTACAGGTACAGGTGCTCCTCTACTTAAGAACGTTCAGCTTACAAACTTTCAGAGATACAAACATCATCACTGATGGGGGTTACCTGCCAGAACAGGTGTTTAATGTGGATGAGACTGGATTATTTTAAAGGAAATTCCAGATAGAACAAACATTACCTAAGAGGACAAGAGTGAGCCAGGTTTTAAGGCTGTATTAAAGGGGATAGCTGTGCTAAATATCCATAATCTTTTCATTTTTTACAATATGTTTGGTATCTACAAGAGTAAAGTTGGACTTACAAACAAGACTCCGGAACGTAACTCGTTCGTAAGTAGAGGAGCACCTGTACTTTAATGGCTGATGTTTGGTGGCTTTTGCATCCTGTGTACCATCGGCAAGGCCATGGGCTCGTAACACTCGTCTTGCCCATAGTGCCCACTGTGTCCGTGTGGATGTCGGTCGCATTAGAATAACATGTTATAGTACATGTACATCCTTCTTTCCCCACACAGCCAAACTGTGGAATGCTATGCATTCTTCTCTGTTTCCATCCTCATACAATCTCTCTTTCTCCAAAAAGCTGGTTTTCTGGGATCATCGTGTTTTAGATTAACATACTCCTGTGGGTCGATGACCTATGCCCGGGTGGGATATCCCCCCCCCAAAAAAAAAATAATAAAATAAAAAAATAAAAATAAAATTCAGTACCACATTGTGTGGCATCTTGAAGAAGGTTACATAGAATATCACTTACTCCAATTTCTGTATGGATATGAAACCTTAGTTTTCCAAGATTAAAATGGGTGAGGTGCAAATTAATGATATATGCAGTTTTTTATGATAGATGAAAATAGGTATGGAATTGATTGAAATGAGAAAGAGGTGTTGAATGTTAATGTCTCATGAATTTTTTTTCACATAATTGTTATCAATGTGATGTAATTGAGTATAAAATCAAGTATTAACTGAGGTGAAGAATTAGTCCAAGGCAAATGAGAAGAGAGTGAGAATGTATAAAAGATGAGTGCACTTAAGGAATGAGGCAATAAGACAAAAGCTACTGAAAAATTGTTAGGTACAGTATTACCCCGCCTAACGCGGTTTCACTTAACGCGTTTTATCATATACGCGGTGCCTCGCCAGAGCTGAACTTTCACTTAACACGGATTTTTTCCACATATACGCGGTGAGTGTCCGGCTCGAGACGCTATTTTTAGATTTGCCCTGCCCCCCTGCCTGACTGCCTGTTTTAGCTCATAAAATTCATACAAATTACCCGGCCAGAATATAATTTACATTGCTGGAATTCTTATAATTTGGTGATCATTTTGAATATAAACATCATATATTTTGCATTAAACATACAATTTTTAGATAAAAAATTTTCTCTAGGTAACTATGTTATCTTTTGTGCAAAATATATGACATTTATATTCAAAATATTCCTGGTCTTACAAGGAATCCAGCAATGTCAATTATATTATCCTAACTTTAGTTTGAGGTATTATTTATTAAAATTTAGTGGTTATCCCACACATCTCCTTGGGACGGTTGGTGGGGGGTGGGGGGGAGGGAGGGACAGACTGACCATCTGTTACCCCATGAAGAATTATTTTTTTTTTTATTAACTGAAGATATTTGTTTTAGCTCATAAAATTCATACAAATTACCTGGTCAGAATATAATTTACATTGCTGGAATTCTTATAATTTGGTGATCATTTTGAATATAAACATCATATGTTTTGCATTAAACATACAATTTTTAGATAAAAATTTTTCTCTAGGTAACTATGTTATCTTTTGTGCAAAATATATGACATTTATATTCAAAATATTCCTGG